TGCAGAGGAGAGCTTCTCAGGCCCGGGCGTCGTGGAGCCCTCGCTCATCATCACGGCCGCCATCCCCGCGGACTGTGACACGTAGTCCTCCCCGCCTCGCCGACACCCCCCGGCCCCCAGCCCACTTGGCCCCATCCCCCAATAAACCACATGGCTTTGGACTCGATTGTTCTGGCCCATCCAGCGGCCTGTTCCCCGGGAACCTGGGCTCCAGGGAGGTGCTGCTTTCCCACCGTGTCGTCTAGAAGAAACGGTGTCCTGCCTGACCCTCTGTGCACCCCAGAGCTCTGCCAGCAGCTTCCCCAGTGTCGGGAGACCCCAGCCAAATGAAACTTGGGCAGGTAGCTTTGAGGGACAAGCCTCTGGCCAAGGGCGCTCTCATCTTTCTCCATCTGGCTTTTAGAACCGGGACCAGCGGCCAGGGCCCTGACGATGGTGGCTGGCCCAAGACGGGGGCCCCGTTACTCTGCAGCCAAGTGGATCTGGGAGCCTGAGGAGTCAGGCTTGTGGCTAAGCGTGCTCTGGACCCTGGCTGGCAGCATGACCACGGACAGGACCTTTCCCTGGGGGAGAAGCTTGGTTTGCTTGTCCAGGAGGCTGGCTTGGCACACAGGCAGGGCCAGGCCTAGAACAGCAAGAGGCCCTGGGGGTACCCAGGTTCTGCAGCCTTGGGAAGAATAGTGTGTGGGCTCGGGAGGCCACTGCCTGCATCCAGATTCCTTCCCAGCTCTTTTTTACAGCTGTGACCCTGGGCAAGTGACTAAATGCTTCACTTCCTTACTTTTTAATGGAATTAGTAACAGCGCTCGAGGATTAAATGAGAAAGCCTGCTGTTCCAGTCCACTGCCGGGTAACAGACGACCCCAGAGTTGCCCTCGGGGCCGGGGGGCAGATCTGCTCTCAAGATGGCTCACTTGTGTGCCTGGCAAGTTGGCACTGGCCGTGGGCCGGGGTGCCTCCCCATGGGCTTCCTGGGCTCCCTCACAGCATGGTGGCTGGGTGCTGGGAGGAACGTCGCAGCAGGCCGAAGCTGCAAGGCCTGTGACCTGGCCCTGGAGGTCAACAGTGCCACCCCTGCCGTGTTGTATTGGTCCAGGCAGTCACCAAAACGTCATTCCTTAGGTTCAAGGGGAGGAGTGTTAAAGCATCTGCACACGTTTACAGCTGCCCACCCCCGCCAGACAGTAAGTGCTTCTGTTTCTGCTCAGCGCTTGGCACAGGGTGAGCGCAGAATCAGGGGTGGTGACAATTGTGACCCCAAGAGCTCACGTCAGCCATCACTTAACTCCTCATCACTGGAGGATTCCAGAAGCACCGGCCCCACGCTATGCTAAATACCTCCCAGGGTTTGAGGAAAACTCCACTTTAGACCCAGAAGCCCTCCAACCATCTTTCCTTTTACTCCTTGCCCACTAGGGAGCTCAGACGTAAAGATAGTTAAGTATCCTAGTGTGGTAACTGCCAGCCAGGTCATGAGCCACCTCAGGTCTGGCAAGGCGACCGAGGTAAACCATGGACTCCCGATGCCCCCTTCCCGGCACTGGCCGCTTCCTTGGGTTCCGTGGGCTCGCAGATGTGAGGAACGTTCTGCACTTCACGACCTTTTCCGGGAGGGAGGCTGCTCTATTTTAAGGGTTCAGCCCCTCCTGTCAGGTCCAAGAGACGGGGATCTCATCACCTTTTAGCATCACACCTTCGGGCGGTGGTGGGGGGAAGCAAGGTATTGGGCACAGTGCCCAGGGGTGGAGTCAGGAGGTCGAAGCAGCTTTTGGGCAGGTGAGCCATGGCCTCAGCCACCCACGTTTCTCCCACGTCCCACCTCCTGCGTCCTCTTTCTACTACCTCATGCCTTGTAATGACTGAGACAAGAAAGGGCCTCAAAGGGTTTGCCCCCAAAGCCATTTAGCGTGCGCCCTGGGCGCTCCGAACTCCGCCCCTTTCCCCATTAGTTCAGGGACACCGAGCACGCTCCTCAATACTACTTTGCCTCCCCTGCCCCACGCGCTTGGCCTCAGCCCAAAGGTTCCAAGACCTGGCAGCAGCAGGATAGAGGCAACGACACCAAATATATAGGAAATATTTTTATTTCAAAAAGTTAGTGTACTGAAGGCATCCTAAAACCTTAAACAGGATCCTGGACATGTAAGCCTACCGAACGGACAAATAAATACACAAATCTGCCCCACGCTCTGGGGCTGGCACTGGATGTCGGACGCTGGAGGGAGACTGTCCTAGTCCAGAAGAGTCTCTGAGGTCATATAAATATAGAATACTTTATAGCAGTAGGTCAGCATTAAATACATGTCACTGAATTTTCATAACTTGTCTCATAGGCTGAAAAAGTTGTGTACATCTGACGTGTAGAGACAGTCCCTCCCAGGCTGGCCCAGGCCATCAGTGCACAGACCTGTGTGAGTGATGGGAACCCGTGCCTACAGGAGCGGGCAAGGAAGGGAGGAGACGTTTCTCAAGTGTCATCCCCAATCCCGGACCCCCAGCAGGAGCCTGCTGTTGCCCAGGCTGCTGCGTCCCCTTCCCGCCTTTGGTCTTTTAACCCAAAGACCGGGTCTGGGGGCTGGGGACCTGGGTAGTTCTAGAGTGAACCTCACTGGCCCCCCCGCCCCCACCAACCATCTGAGCAGCCGCCAGAGAGTGGGGAGGTCGGTCACACAGTGGTACCCAAAATGCAGGAAAGACCAGACAAAGGCCCCGGCCCCGGCTCTCACTGCTGACCCGAAGCGCCGCGGCGGGTGACAAAGGCCAGTTTCTATGAGAACGTGAGCGCCTGCCCCCCACTGCCTGCCCTGCCTTCTGGGGCTGCCAGGGCCCTTTACAGAGCCAGCCCCAGGAAAGGCACCAGGAAGGAGTCTCCCGTGAGATCGAGCTTACCCCACCCCTGCCCATGACCTGCCACAGAAGTTATCACCACATCTCTCTGCGTGGCCTGTCACACCCACTGGGCAGGGCACAGTCTGACACCGAGCTTGGTGACTGGCATATAATCAGGGCTCCATCAGTCCCGTGCAGCCCTGCCTGGTCGTCCCCCTGCCACAGACAGGAGACAAGCCATCACGCCTGGGCAGCATCTGCCTGCGGGGAACCCGAGTCGGCCACCCCATGGAGCCTGGCGCCTCTGGGTGGGCTCAGCTCGCCAGGCAGGCACCTGGGCTAGAAAAAAGGTCTCAGTAACCCCTGGGAAGTGAAGTGAGGGCTGTGGAGAGGGAGCAACTAGGGCTGCGACCACCCTGGGGGCAGGGGCAGGTGAGCCCCAACTCACCAAGGGAGGACACTCAGACCAGGAGGGGTGACCTGGGGGAGGGTCCCCAAGGGAGCAGAAGGCCGAGCATCCACCCTGGCTAAGGCCTGAGGCAGGAAGTACCAACCCCACATCCCCTGCCTTCCCACTGTGCCTGCCACACCGGGGGCTCGCAGTGGCCAGCTGAGCCACAGCCCAAGGCGAATGGAAGGGCTGGCTGTGAGCCGTGGCCGCTCCAGCAGGGGTTCCAGAGCAAGATGGCTGACCTGACAGCGGTGGCCCCCCACCAGGGCTCCTCGAGGGACGAGGGACTCAGGAGGGAAGGCAGGGTCCCACCCGACAGCCCCAAAGCTTCTGGCCAACAAAAGGGTTTTAAGTGCCACTTGTGAAGCGATGGTGAGAAAAATTTTTTTCTTGTTAGGAACACACTGTTGAACATTTACCTAACGAGGAAAACGTAACCGCCCTCCCCTCTGGAAGGGAAGGAGGACAAACTCAAGCAAAGGCTACTTTGGAAACCATGCGAGGACAAGACCACCAATCCACCGTTCACACTCATCAGAGAAAAACAGGGACGTGACAGCAGCTACGGGGGTTCCCAGGAGCTGCTTCTGCCACCCTCCTGGAGAAGCCTGGGCTTCTGAGGGGCTTAAGGCACCCTCCCACCCTGCAGAAAGCTTGGCAATGGGACGGGGAGAGGTTAAAGATCAAACCAACCGGACCCCGTTTCTAGCTGCCTGCCCCCCTTCTAAGGAAGGGCCAACTGTGTTTCAAACCTTGTGACCACCTGCTGAGGCTGCCCCACCCCGGGCTTCCTTGAGAAGCAACAGGATCCTCAGCTCACAGGCCACAAGGGCAAGGGCGCGTGCAGCTGTCTGCCTGGCTGGGCTTCAGCGACAAAGTCCCAGGGCCTCCCAGTGAGGAGCTATGACCTTGCACTTTCGTCCTCTGCCGAACTGGCCTGGGACGAAGGGCCTGGAGGCCCCCAAGCCAGGTGGGGCTACACCAACTGGTGGGTGTGTGGACAGGGACCCCCAGCACCTGTGTCGGCCCAGGTCCACTGGAGACAGAAACTCAGCAGGTCCCTCTGGGCCCCCTTCAAGGCCACACGCCAGTCCATTCCCACTGCCCTGTGTCCCCAGGTCTGAGCTCACCCCCAGGAGGCCCACCCACGAGGGGTGTTTTGGTGCAAGACCCCAGCAGGGCCGAGGAGCTGGTCAGGCAGACCCCCTGCATCTGGGGAGCTGGCTCGCCGGGTGTCCAGCACTGGCCATGGAGGGTGGGACCCCACTGCAGCCATCGTCTGCCTGATTCTCGATGCTCTGGGATAGCAGGGCCTGCAGGGAGGCCACTCTCACACTCTCCTGGAAGGACCCCCTGCCTCTCCACTCATACCCAGAAGTGGCCCTCCTCTCCCAAGGGGGGAGCAAGTACGCACAGGTGGTGGCTGCAGGAGGGGCACGTGCCTTCATTGGTGAGATGGGCCTGCAGCGGGGGTGACTTACTGGAACCAGAGACGTGGTGGCGGAGGCAGCTCTTCCTGGACCAAGGGAGCAGCATTCACAACTGGCCTTGGCCCCAGCAGCTGTGACTCACACGCACGGAAACTCTCCAGCTGTCAGATCCTGAGGCTTGCTCGCTCGCTCGGCAGCCCCTGAGCCCACGCTCCAGCCAACCTGTCCCGGTGCACGAAGGATGGGGGTGCTACCACCTGCACCAAGGCCCTCCCCGGGCCGGGCCGGGGCTAGTGCAGCTCGGCGGGGTTCTGTGGCGGCCGGGGCCGGCCCACACCCATGTCACTGCTGCCACTGTCCAGCTCAAAGCCACGCCCCCCCAAGGGCGTCTGGGGCATGAACTGTCGGAAGATGCTGACGCTGCCGTGCCAGAAAGTGGGCTCTGGGAGCCGTCCCACCACGCTCCATGCCCGGGTCTCTGGGTCGTAGGCCTCCACCACATCGGAGAGTTCAAAGGTATTGTCGTAGCCCCCAGAGACGTACAGCTTCCCTCCAAGGACGGCCAGGCTGCCCCCTACATGCACCTGTGGGCCAAGGGGGGCAGTGAGTGGAGGCTGGCAGCCAGGGCAGGGGCGAGCCCCAGAGCCCCTCTCCATGGGGAAAGTGCCTGGGGCCCTTGGGAGGGGCAGCCTTGGCACTTTCTACACCCCAGCTAGGACAGAGGGGCTCCATGCCCGGGGGTCACATGCCACAGCGGGTCCCTATGGTGGTCAAGGGGCCATGGAGGCACTCTCCCCGTAAGCAGCATCAGCCCTGCAAAGCAGGCATGACTGTTCTCCCCATCTCCCCCCACCGCAATTATTTATTTATTTATGGCTGCAGTGGGTCTTTGTTGCTGCACACGGGCTTTATTTAGTTGCAGCGAGCGGGGGCTACTCTTCCTTGCGGTGCGCTGGCTTCTCATTGCGGTGGCTTCTCTCGTTGCAGAGCACGGGCTCTAGGCCTGCGGGCTTCAGTGGTTGTGGCACGCAGGCTCAAAATAGTTGTGGCTCGCGGGCTCTAGAGTGCAGGCTCAGTAGTTGTGGCGCACAGGCTTAGCTGTTCCATGGCATGTGGGATCTTCCTGGACCAGGGATCGAACCCGTTTCCCCTGCCAATGCAGGCGGATTCTTAACCACTGCGCCAGCAGGGAAGCCCTGTTCTGCCCATCTTACAGATGGGAAAACTGAGCCTCATACAGCCGACAGCAGCAGAGCTGGCACTTGATCCAAAGTCTGAGCTTTGAACCACGAGGCTGGACTATCCCATCTTGCCCAAGACCTGCTATAATGAGTACATGTAGCTCACTATGGGGAAAACCAAAGTTATATTTCCTAACTGTAAAGATGTTATTTATTTAAAAATATATATTTTTGGCAGCTGTGCTGTGTGGCTTGTGGGATCTTAGTCCCCTGACTAGGAATTGAACCTGGGCCCTCGGCAGTGAAAGTGAGGAGTCCTAACCACTGGGCTGCCAGGGAATTCCCCTAAAGATGTTAAATAAGCTGTAGAGGTTATCAGGAGAGCAGGTTTGGAAATTTTTTTTTTTTTTTTTTGGCCACGCTGCACAGCTTGCTTGCAGGATCTTAGTTCCCTGACCAGAGATCAAACCCATGCCCCCTGCAGTGGATGTGCTAACCACTGGACCGCCAGAGAACTCCCAGGTTTGGAAATTTTAAGGAAGACAGAAAATAAAGATATAGGCAGGGGCTTCCCTGGTGGCGCAGTGGTTGAGCGTCCACCTGCTGATGCAGGGGACACGGGTTCGTGCCCCGGTCCGGGAAGATCCCACATGCCGTGGAGCGGCTGGGCCCGTGAGCCATGGCCGCTGAGCCTGCGCGTCTGGAGCCTGTGCCCCGCAGTGGGAGAGGCCACAACAGTGAGAGGCCCGTGTACTGCAAAAAATAAAAAAAAAATAAAAAAATAAAAAGATATAGCGGGTGTAGATGTGTATCTGAGACTAAGGAGATTGCTCTTGTAGCCAAAAGCCACCCAGCCTTCCTGGCTCTATCACATCGTGAAACTCAGCACCCTCTTCTCAATAAGCAAAGAGAGGTGAGACCCCATTAGGCAGCAAAAGTGTGGGTACACAGCAGGTGCTCAATAAGTGTACTCCCAAGGTCAATCCCCAAAGACCTCCTTGTCTGACCTCACCCCTCTGTTGCCCCCTTGTTCACTCTTCTCCAGCCACACCAGGCTGAGGGCTTGTTCCATGAACACACCAGGCATGCCCTACCCCAGGGCCTTTGCACTTGCTGTCCCTCTGTGGAACACTTCCCCAGCGTGCTCTCTGGCTCATGGCAGGTACTCAATGAACACTGGTCCGAATGGATGAACTCACTAAGCTGTGTGACCCTGGCATCTTATTTAAGGTCTCTGTTTCAGTGACCCTCGAGTACAAGTCGAGGACAACAGCAGCCCTCTGTTCATGAAGGTAACACCAGGAAAGGGCCCAACACAGGGCCCTGCCCACCAGGACTGCATCCCAAAGTTACGCTGACACTTTGGTTGGAAAACCAGAACCAGCTTGTGCTCCCATTGCTGGCGTGTCTGCAAACTTACCTGATTCATCGATGGGATCTTATCCCATTCGTTCTTGGTGGGGTTATATACGTCCACCTCAGCAGAGTCGTCCCTGGGGAGTAGAGGGGGGGAAGGAGGAGGAAGATGGGTCAGAGTGACTAGGCAGCACCTGAGTGTGAAGGGCTGGAGAGGAGGGTCCTCCTGGCCTATCTCCTTTGGGGACCTCTGTGATGCTATTTGGCAGCCCACCGGCCAGTGGGACCCTATCCCTGGTTCGCAGGGGCTGACTTCAGGCACCCACACCTATCTGGCCTGGGTTCTGAGGCCGAACCCAGCCACGCTCCACAAACCCAAAGATCGTGCTCTCGGGTGCTACAACGCTTTCCTGCAGCCCAGCACCAACACAGCTGCCCCTCCCCTTCGCTGTGGTCACCCAGCCTGGCCTCAGATCTTGAACTGATAGTGGCCCTTCCCACCAGTCTCAACTCACCCTTCCTCAGCTCACTTGTGCCACCTCTCAGGATAGCCTTCCATGGTTGACCAGTCTAGGCCAGGCCTCCCGGCCCACTGCACAGCCCCCGTGCCCTGGACCACTGCTCGGCCACTGCCCTCCCACCGCTGTCCGTCCCTCGATCCCACCCCATTCACTGCTGCATCCTAAGTGCCCGGCAGGGTGACCACAGTCCCAGGAATAAGGACACCAGCACTGCCCTCCCCTTTGGGCTCAGGCTCCTTCAATCCTGTGTGACAAGCTCCTGATACCTGCAATACAAGGCTCAAAGGCACAGCCTTGAAAAACAGACACTACCCCCCAAATTGGAGTATTGACGGTAACGATGGTCACAGGTCAGGGATCAGCAGAAAGGCCAGAGAGTAAATATTTCAGGGCTTGCCAAGCAGACAGTCTCTGTAGCAGGTCCCCAGTGCTGCAGCTGAGAACAAATGCAGCCACAGTCGTATAAACAAAGGGGCTGGCTGCATTCCCATAAAACCTTATTTATGGACACAAATTTGAATTTCACATAACTTTTCACACGTCACAAAGTATTACTCACAAAATATTACTTTGATTTTTTCCTCCAGCCACAGAATGTAAGAACCACCCTTAGTTTGTAGTGCATAAGATGATGATAATTGATATGGGAACCCGCTGGGTTGCCCTGCCCTGACCCCTGCAGAGACCAGGAGCTGCAGCCAGAAGGTGCCAGGCTGGACAAGGCTCTCGGCTTCTGCCTCTGCGGGCGCTGGGACAGCCCAGCCTGGGAGCCACGTTAAGTGGGGACTGAGGCAGAGCACTGCTGGAGGCGCAGGCGGGGGCCACCGGTCACTGCTCAGAGCCCAGGGCAGCAGCAGCCCACAGGCTGCGGCCTCCACGCAGCGTGAACCCTTCCTGTGGACCGGAGCTACCCCAACAGGTGGCATTCTGAGCAGAGTGATGCGGCTGAGGCACCAAAGTGTGTGGACAGAGCGCAGGAACGCTCGAGCACACGAGACCCAGGCCCCTGGCCTCGTCCACACTCTCAGGTGAGGCCAGGCCCCCACTACTCAACAGGCTGCCCTTCTAGACCACTCACCCTCTTGGCTGGTTTGGCGATGGCAGTGTGCAGTGAGCAGAGTTGAGCCCACCTCCCGGGCCCCCCATGGCTCAGGCGACCCTGTACAAAGGCTAACAGAGGACCTGGGGGGCACCCTAATGCTCACACGTGGGGCAGTTTAGCAGCTGACCAGTGACCCCGACCAGGAGGAGGCAGGCACAGGGGCCTTCCCTCCAAAGATCGGACCTTGGGCACCTCTCGTTCTAGGACCACGGCGGAGGGGGTGGGGGATGAGGGGAGGACATTCTCAAAGTTGCGCAGCCTGGAACTGCCACGAGGGGCTGAAGCCAAGGTTCTGGCACCCTCATGAGTTGTATTTATAGCCATCTCCACCCCCATCTTTGAAGACATGACTTGGAGGAGGGAGAGCTGGGCGAAGGATCAGATGATGTTTTATAACAGGACTGGGAGCTGGCTGGGATTCTGGGGCTTTCTCAGAGCAGATCTTCACTTCCTAGGATACGGGGAGGCCTGGCCCCTTGGCCACCTGGGTGACAAGCAACACCACCTCAGTTCCAAATGTGTTCTCCCCGAAAGCCTGGGAAGGTGCCTCGAGTCTGGGGGAGGGGCAGCTCATACAGTGAGGGGGTGTGGGCCGAGAAGCACAGTGTCCCTGTCCTCAGAGGCTCCCAATTCAAAGTCGCAGGCAGAAAGGGGACAGAGGGGATGGCCGTTCACACCTTACCCTTCCCTCCTGATCCCATACCTTCAGGCAGGCTCTAGGCCAGGGAGGGGAGCGGCAGGTACACACACCTACAAGCATGTATGTATGTGCACATGTATGCAGAAGCTGTGACCAGTGGCTGGGAGCTCCTAGTTCCTTGGACGCCTACTGGCCCATCAGGAGGGGGCATTTCGCTGTGACAAGTCATCAAGACTCACAGATGCATCGTGACCCATCGGCTGCCCAGCTCCGCTGCATGCTGCCGAGGCCATAGCCTGGCCCAGGGAGGCTGTGATGTGGTGACAGTACACGGGACCTGGGCTGGATGTCCTTGGTTCTAACCCTGTGCCACCACTTAAAGCCTGTGGTTGTGAGCAAGTCCCTTACCCCTCTAAGTCTCTGTTTTGCCACCTGTGAAATGGGGATGACAGTGGTGCCCATCTCAGCAGACAGTCATGGGGATCAGCTGTGAAAATGCCCACGAAACAGGCAACCAGAGCTCGGTCCACTGGGGACCGCAACATGCTAACTACTGTCATCGTTCCCACAGGCAGCTCTGGGCCTGCTCAGTACCAGGCTCCTCCCTGGTCCTGGGTGGCTGTGGGATCTTTGGAGAACAGCATTCTTTCAGCAAGACTCACCAGCGCTCCCTGTGCCAGGCCAGGCGGGAAGGGATAGACAGAACCTGCGGAAACGCACTGAACACACAAGTGCTGCTTTCCGCAGAGAGGGCAGGGCAGATCCCTCCACCTGGCACCAGCCCGCTGGTGAGCAAAGGGTCCCTCTATCAAGGCCACCCCACCCCAAAGACTCAAGTGTCCAGAAAGCTCTCCTCTGGTCTTTTTAAGATTCAAAGTTCCTCTCAGGTAGGACAGGTGGTTCCTTTCAGTAAAGGCCACACGAGACCAACAAGGGCTTTTAGTGGGACCCACCAGGCGAAGTCCAGCCAAAGAGACACAACTGATTTAGCTTCTATGAATCTCAAAAAGTTCTCTGCGAGGACCTAGCTCCATCCCACTTGGGATCCTCAGAGGCCACAGAAACCGTTCTAAAGAATGGGGACAGAACAAAGGCGCCAGGTCAGAAAGACCCAGCCCCAGAGCCCAGTGTGGCCTCAGTTTCCTCATCTGTGAAATGGGGAGAACAGTAAAGATGAACTTAGCATAGGACCTGGTAAAAAAGATCACGCAGTGGCCTCGGCCCCTAGGGACTCACCTGATGAAGTACATGAGTCCATTCAGAGTCACTGTCTTGGGGGCGAAGGACCAGGGCGGGAGCTGGCCGCAGTCCACCAGCGACCATAGGTCCATGTCTGGGTTGTAGCACTGCATCACCATGGTCTCTTTGCCGGCCAGGGAGCCGATGGCATAGAGCCGGCCTCGGCAGGCCGTGGTGGAACAATTGTCCATGGGGTAGGTCATGGGCTGCAAGGCCTCCCAGGAGTCAGTGGTGTGGTCGTAGCGCTCCGTGCTGTCTGCGGCCACCACGTACAGCAGCCCATCCAGCACAGAGGAGCTGTGGTACTCCCGGGCCTTCAGCATGGGCGCTACCTCCGTCCACTCGTTCACACTTGAGTTGTACCTCCACACGCAGTCGTAGAGCCGGGAGCCATCGGACCCGCCTGCCGGGGCAGACAACGTGCAGATGGTCAGCCCACAGCGACTCAGGGTGATTCACCTACCCGTGACTCCCTGAATTTCTGAGCGGGGGGAAAGATAACCCTCTCATCTTGGGGGAGGGATAACCCTCACCTGGCTCCATGTAAACACACATCCTCTCTCACCAAGGCCGGGCCAGGGGCCCCGGCAATGCGTAGGCTTACCGCTGCCCAGGAGGATGGCCACAAAAACACCACCAGGGCTTCCCTGGTAGCGCAGTGGTTGAGTCTGCCTGTCGATGCAGGGGACACGGGTTCGTGCCCCAATCTGGGAAGATCCCACATGCCACGGAGCGGCTGGGCCCGTGAGCCATGGCCGCTGAGCCTGTGCATCCGGAGCCTGGGCTCCGCAACAGGAGAGGCCACAACAGTGAGAGGTCCTCATACTGCCAAAAAAAAAAACAAAAAAACACCACCACCAAATCTCTGCGGGCCAAGCCAAGGCCCAGGGGCCGCAATTCTAAGTAAACAGCAATCTCAGTCTGGACTCCCCACCCAAGCGGTCAAACACCTCAGCTGGACTGGGGCAACAGGTCGTAGAGTCCATGCTCCTGGGGAGCCACAAAGCATGTGGATGGGGTGTCCAGGGTCTTGTTCACCAAATTCTAGGCTTCCCGGGCAGCCCCTAACCAAGGCTGTGCCAGGATGAGTTGAGAGGAAATCTACAGCACCCTGCAAGCAAGAAACCTAACACAGAAAGTGATGCTACGGGGACTTCCCTGGCGGTCCAGTGGTTAAGACTCCGCACTTCCACTGCAGGGGGCCCAGGTTCAATCCCTGGTTGGAAACTAAAACCCTGACTGGTGAGGCCAAGAAAAAAAAGAAAGTGATGCTATGAGTGGACTTCTGGGGTTGTATTTCTTGATTTATATGCAAGTTACTGACATGTTTTGTTTGGAAAAAACTCATCGAGCTGTACAAGTATGATGTATACTTTTCCGTCTCTATTTCAAAAAAAAGGCTTAAAACCAACCAACCAAACAAAGCCCAGTGGTACTGGTTATAGCTACAGATTAAACCAGATTCACCTAAGATATTAGAATTCCCACAGTATGAAGGGACCCCAAGAAGCCTGGGGATTGCATTCCTCTATTGCCCCAAGGCTGGGGCCACAAGGCAGAGCAGAGCCGGCCTGACATTCTATCCGGCTCATAGCCCTGAGCTTTTAGAGGGAGAAGGCAGGGTCCTTGTAAAGTCCTCTCTGCCTCCTTCCTTCCAAAGGAGAACCGTGTCAAAGGCAGCTGAAGTCGCTTTCTCATCCCCCTGCCCCATGAAATTCCCTAGAGGCAGCTGTAGGGACCCACTCAGCCACCTGTCTAAACCCAAAGGATTAGCTGCTCAGCTGAGACATTTATGGAAGGGTGTGCAAAGTTGGGGCGAGTCTGACCAGTTCTGGGAATTCACCGGCCAGACTTTGGTGGGGTAGTGGGGATGGTGGTCCCCAAACAACACAGGGCCAACCTCAGGTTGGAAAGGTACTGATTCTGGCAGATTCCCGCAGAGGCTGGACCTGGAGCTGCGGGCCAAGGAAGCTGTGGCCACAGAGCCGAGCCTTAGGCCGGGATGCACGCCACTTGTCAGCTCAGAGCCGGCTTTCTCCGGACCGTGCCAGGCTGGACACAGCGTTGTGATGGCACAGCCGGGGCCTCCCAGCCTGATCCAGCCCTCTGCTGGCCCCAAGTACAGGCCTGGTCGGTTCTTTCCTTATATAGCCGTCACACAGACCGCCCCTCCTCACCCCACTCAAAGAGGTAGACTCATGTTTGAAATGGGATTTATCTTTAACGAAAAATGTGGGAGATGCCCAGGACGAGGGCGGGCTGGGACACGCCCAGCATGACTCGGCAGTGTTTTGGGGTTTGGGCCAAGTAACTGGAAGAAAACCTCTTAGCATGTGACTCTGTTTACAGTCGCTGGGCAGGGAGCAACCTAAACACGTGACCCAAGCGCAGGGCCTAGGTCCAAGCCCTGTCACTGGTGACCAAGTGTGCTGCTCAGCCATGAGGGAGAAATCCCCCGTGGGGGGGTGGGGGGTGACAATGGATGTATCACAGGGCGTCAGTCGCTGGCCCGTCCCCAGATTCCTTAGGGAGAAAAAGAAAGCACTCATTGTGCAGGGTGACTGCCCCAGTATCTTGCAACCTAATGGGGGCATCACCCGGGCAAGGAGGAGGCTGCCCAGGCAGGTCCTGCGTGCTGGGAAGAGACCCACAAACAGCTACTTGTCCCACTCACACAAGGGGTTCTTCTTCTAGATCTTAAGTATCAACCCTAGAAACGTACGTGCGTGCCAGCCTGGGGGAGAAGGAGGCGGAAAGGAAGTGGCCACTTGCACCCAGGTGCGGTCCCGGGATTCCAGGTATTGTGGGTTCTCCTGCAGGTGGATGTATTCTCCCAGGGGGGCGGGGGTCCGGGCGGCCCAGGGTCCTCCTGACCAGCCCCCAGCCCACTCACCCGTCACGTAGATGTCGTTGCCCAGCGCCACGATGCTGTAGCCCCCGCCCAGGTGGTCGGGGAACTCGGCCAAGTAGCGCCACTGGCCCGTCTGCGGATTGTAGCAGTCGACGGTGACCAGTTCATCGCAGTCCTGGTCGCAGCCGCCCACCAGCACGAGGATCTCCGCGAGGCCGGTGGAGGGGCGCGGGCGCATCCGGGGGCAGGGCCCGCGGTCGTGGCGGTCGTAGCGCGCCGCCTGGAAGTCGCGCGCCTCGCGCAGCAGGCGCAGGCAGGGCGGGCAGCGGGCCACCAGCGGCTCGGCCCCGACGTGCGCCAGCAGGTAGAAGCGGCGCACGAAAGGCAGGCGCACGGCCTCGAGCAGCTGCGGCCAGTGCGCGGCGCGCCGCGGCGGGTCGGCGCGCACCCAGCGCAGCGCCAGCTGGTAGGCGGCCTCCTCCTTGGGCACGCACAGCCCGTCGTCGCGCAGGTAGCGCAGCAGCCGCGCCAGGGGCAGCCGCTCCAGCTGCTCGGCGCCCAGCTCGCCCACGTGGCGCAGGATGAAGCGCTGCGCCGCGCTCGCCAGCCCCGCGCAGCTGAAGGCCTCGGCGAAGTCCTGCATGTCCAGGCAGTTGGTCAGGTCGAGCTGCTGCTGTAGGAAGGCGCCGCACGCCTCCTTCACGGCCGGGAACTGCAGTAGGTCGGCGGCGCGCAGCAGCGGCTCGGCGTTGTCGCCGCTCACCGCCACGCGGCCCGTGTAGCTGAAGTCGAGCAGCAGCTGCAGCATGTCGGGCGGCACGCCGTGCAGGCGCACCCGCTCGGCGCGGCTCTCGCGCAGCTGCCCGGCGAACATGGCGCGGAAGTAGGGGCTGGCGGCCGCCAGCACGGCGCGGTGAGCCGGGAAGTCGCGCCCTCCCGCTGCCTCCAGGGTCACGTCCAGGAACTTGCGCTCGGCGCGGAGCTGGCTCAGGCCGCGCAGCAGGCTCAGCGCGTGCGCAGGGTCCGAGAAGGGCAGCACGGCTAGGGGCGCCGGCCGCTCCATGGCGCCTTGGCTGGGGGCGCGGGGCCGCTGCGCGCGCGCGCTGCTCGAGAAATCCGCCTCCAGGGCCACCGAGAGAGACACTAGGAGCTGGTTGCCCCGGCTATAAATAGGGCCGGGCTCCTCGGCCTCCGGGGGGGCGGGGGGCGGGGGGCGGGAGCACGCGAGGGGAGGCGAGTCAGCGCGCTCAGCCGGGTGGCAGGGCGGGCGGCGGCGCCGGGCCCGGAGGCGGCTGAGCGCGCTGACTCGCCTCCCCTCGCGTGCTCCCGCCCCCGCGCTCCAGGCTGAGTCACCGCCGCCCGCGCCCGTTCCCTCTCTCCGCCCTTCCGGGGCTTCCTGCGGCCTCCCGCCGACGCCCGAGACGAGGACACCGGGTGACAAGGGTCCTCTCCGAGGGGCGGCCCTGCCGTGCCCTGGGATCGGGGGCCTCCAGGGCCTGCCCACCACCCACTCGGGCCCGGCTGCTGAACAAAACCCGGTGGTGGCGGAGGAAGCCATCCCTTTCGCGCCAGACTTCCCAACTGCTCCCGGGCGACTCGGTACAATGGCTTTTTTTTTTTTTTTTTTTTGAATTCCACTAGTTCCAAGGGTTGCTAGTTAACCCTATCTCGGGACAGGTTTCAAACGACAGAATTTCTTTCTTTTCTTTTCTTTTCTTTTTTTTTACAATTCAGGAACAGAGCAGGACCAATTATAAGTTTTTTAGGTGACTTTTATTCTTGGCGCATCCGTAAGGGACACGGGGCCAGATGCTAGGAATCTGCTCCACTGTGTTCCTGCAGGAGTTTCAAACTTGACTAACGCGGTCGTTAACTTTCGTCAGCGCAGAAGGCGCAATTTTAGTTTCCGAGTCATAGAGACTCTTTCAGCCTCCTGAGCTACCCTCTGAAGGGGTCATCCTGGCCTCTTCGCCCTTCCTCTCCTGGAAATGGAAGTGGGAAAGGCAGAAATCAGGGTAGGAAAAATCTATGAGAATTCGTAAGAATATACTATTAAGCTGAACAAAAAGCTGAAGCATCCGAAAATAATTCCAGGGAAAAAATAGTTTTTTCTATTCCATGAGAGGGGCACTAGGTACCTGGGGGTCAGGGCCCTCAGCTCAAGGTCAGACAGGGGACTGCCTTAAAAACCAGGGGATGTGGCTGTTCAGAGATGTCACAGTCACGTGTGGGGTGACAGTGAAGAAAGAAATCTTCCTCACTTTGGTTCCAATAGATACAATGCCAGGACTGTGTTTTCACTGATACCATATGAAAAAGTTCCCTCACTTGGAAGCCATTTTTTTCCTTAGTTTAATGTATGCTTTGCTCAGTTTTAGAAACGACCCTTAAATGTATTGTTTGTAATGATAAAAATAAATCTAACTCTCTCTCTAAAAAAAAAAAAGAAAGAAAAGACCTTTATTCCACTTCTTGTGTTGCAGATGAAACCCGAGTTTCTGTTATTGGATAGCACCCCCCATGCCCCGTGGGCTTGGCAAAGACATTCCGGACAGCAGCCTCATTCCGCCCACGTGTGTCCCAGGGCAGGCCAGGCACACCAGGAGTTGCTGTCATTTCTTGGTTCCAGCTCAGTCGGCACAGCCTTTGGAGAAGACATCTTGGTTTTATTCCGTCTCTGACATGCAAACTGTAGGCTTTCTCTTCTACTTGTGAATCTCTCATCATCTTGCTGTGAGAAGGTATTTAGTCTAAATGTCAGTATGGGAAGCACAGGCCTAAGTCAGAAAGCATTCAGGTACCCAGGCGGGCTGCCTGTTGCCCATAGATGGACCGTTCACACAGCTATTAACGGCAGCAACAGCATTCCTGGGCCCAGGAGCCCAGCCAATAAGCTTACTTGCTCAGGCTTTGTGACAAGAAAGTCTAAGTAGCCAGGAAGTGGGATGTTTGTAGGGA